GTAAACGCTTTTTTCAAAAAAGAACTAAACGTTTCGTATCTTTTTAGCGCATCCCTTTTTATATATTTCTACATTTCTCACGCCGATCATCTAAAGCTTTTTTTCTCTTATTCGGGTTTGTAAACCTGTCTGTTCATGTTTCAAGTCATGCATGCATATCACATTATTTATTGAAATATCCGTAGATGTATTTGTGTGAGCCGAGAAAATGCCCGAAAAAAGGATTGAATAGGATCAACAAGAACATTTTATAGCCACGCACGTACGCCATGACAAAAAGAAGAAATACAAGAAAAGAAAATAGTAAAGTTAATCGGTATTACCAAGCCTATATTTGATTCAATGAACTTGCAGAATCAGCCAATTTCTATTTTTTTTCTATAAGACCTCTTGAAAACCGACCAGAGACAACGATAGTTTCACGAGACGCGCTTTTCCGAGACTCATCTGATGAAGATGAAGGAGGAACTGCTATGAATGAGGATGCTGTTAAACGTCTTTCCGAGAGAATCCAAAGAGACATGCTTTTTAATGAGAACACCTCCGGTGAGTTCTTACAAATGAATTGATCCTTTATATAATTTCGGCTAACATTCTTAAAGTAATGGATATTGAGAAGGATTATAAGCTACAATCCCACGAGGATGAGGAAGATAAACAAGGTAAAGGTAGCATCTATCGATTGTTTGATTGAATTGCTAACTTAATCGATTTTTTAGTATTTCGTCTTTTCGCAAGTGAACCTCCGACTCTAATCTCATTACATTCTTCTGTCTTTGATAAACATAATGAAAAAATTGAAATGATGAGACATGAAGACCAGTACGAAGTAAGGTAAACCCCGAATCTTTTCCTATATATAAATTTATGGATGTCATTGTCATTGTTAAATATTTAGCGACGATTCTGAGCGCGAGATACGCATTGCTGCTGCTTGTATAACTTATGCAGATATTATACGTGAGTCTCAGATTCCATGGGAAAGACATTTTTTTCCACGTAAAGTAACAACGATTCCATTTAAAACAATGGAAATCAAAGAGAAAAGGAATAGAAGAAGAAAAAGCAAAGGGAAATGTAGAAATATATAAAAAGGGATGCGCTAAAAAGATACGAAACGTTTAGTTCTTTTTTGAAAAAAGCGTTTAC